AGGGCAATAGATGGGGGGAGGGGGGTTGTTACCTGGTGAGGGTGAAAAGGGTAACTATTGTATTGTTCTGTACACCTGAAACTAACAATAAAAAAAAAATGGAAAAAATAAAGTGCGGTTGTTAGGGTTACCTGAAAACAAAAAAAAAAGTGAACTAATCAGAGTCATTTTAACTCTGGGTTATAGCTATTATAACTAAGGGGTAAGGGAAAGACGGATTACCAGAGCCCAAGGAGACTTACTGCTGTAGGAGACAGCCACCTACCTGATAACAACCTATGGTGGCTTCCTAGAGGAACATAGCCCTGCCAACCTGCAACCCAGCAGGGAGGAGCTGAAAGGATTAAGTATCCAAACCTCTTTCCCTCCATGCTCCAATGTCCTCCCAGTGTCTCTCATTGGCCAAAACCCACCTAAAAACAGAGCAGGAATATAATCTATAAAAGTCAGTTTCCTGGTTTTGAATCCAGGCTAAAGAAGGATAGAGTACGAATCTGACAGAAAGGGGCCAATTATATCAAGAAGACAACAATATTAAATGTGTATGTATCAAGTTATAGAGCTTCAATATACATAAAGTGAAAAATACTATTATTTATAGAAGAAATACTCAAGTTATGAATGGTAGCTAGAGACTCCGACACTCCTTTCTGTGATTGGTAGAACAAGTAGACAGAAAATTAGTATAGAAAACCTGAACGGCACTACCAACCAACGTGACCTAATTGACATTTATAGGTCACTCAACAATAGCAGAATATACTCTTAACAAGTGCACCTGAAACAGTCACTAAGATAGATCATAATCTGAGCAATAAAAAAAAATTCATTAACTTTAAAAGGATTGAAATCATACAAAGCATATTACCTGACCACAATGGAATTAAACTAGAAATAAATAATAGAAAAATATCTGAAAAAAAAACCTATATGGAAATTAAGTACACTTCTAATTGGATCAAGGAAGAAATCACTATGAAAATTTGAAAATACTTTGAATTAAGTAAAAATGAAAACATTAAATTTTATAACATTAGTTGCTAACATTAGAGAAGAAACAGCTCAATTCAATAATTTAAACTTCTATCTTAAGAAACTAACAAAAACAAAAAAACAAAAACAAGCAAAATGAAGGAAATAGTAGGGTAGAAATAAATTGAATGAAACAGAAGAAAAATAGAGGAAATAAATGAAACCAAAAGTTAGTTTTTTGAAAAGATCAATATAATTGATTAAAAAACAAAAAAAAACCCTCTAGCCTGACTGATCCAGAAAAAAAGAGAGAAGACACAAATTACCAGTATCAGGAATTAAGGAGATGTTATCACTACAGACTGTACAGACATTAAAAGGATATTAAGACATTTTAATGTCAATAACATAGATGAAATGGACAAATGCCTTGAAAGATACAACTGCCAAAGCTCACAAAAGAAGAAAAAGATAACTTGAATAACTTTATATCCATCTTAGTAATTTTAATCTTTAGTTTAAAAGACCTCTTTCTTTCTCTCTCATACCACAGACACTTCTTACAAGAAACTCCAAGACACTCTCTTTGCTGAATCTACTGGGAAGATGAAGATCATTCTCAACAATCAGACTGTGGACATTCCAGAAAATGTGGACATTACTCTGAAGGGACTCACAGTTATTGTGAAGGGCCTCAGAGGTACTGTGTGGAGGGACTTCAATCACATCAATGTAGAACTCAGTCTCCTTGGAAAGAAAATGAAGAGGCTCCATGTTGATAAATGTTGGGGAAATAGAAAGGAACTGTCTACTGTTCACATTATCTGAAGTCATGTACAGAACATGATCAGGGGTGTTACATTGGGTTTCCATTACAAGATGAGGTCTGTGTGTGCTCACTTCCCCATCAACGTCATTATTTCAGAGAATGATTCTCTTGTTGAAATCCAAAATGTCTTTGGGTGTTTTCACCCAAGGATTTGGATGAGGTAAGGTGTTGCTTGTTCAGTATCTCAAGCCCAGAAAGATGAGTTAATTCTTGAAGGAAATGATATTGAACTTGTATCAAATTCAGGCTTTGATTCAGCAAGCCACAACAGTTAAAAAACAAGGATACCAGAAAAATTTTGGATGGTAGCTATGTTTCTGAAAAAGGAACAGTTCAGCAGGCTAATGATTAAGATCTAAGTTGTCCAGCTACATAAACGCCAAGATGTCGAGGGATTCCTCAGACTTATTTTGATATTTTAAATGCAATAAAAGTCATGTATTAAATTGTGTGTGTGGGGGGGGGAGAGAAGAAACTCCAAGACTAGATGGTTTTACTGTTGAATTCTAAACATTTAAGGAAGGGATAACACCAAATCTATACTTGCTTTTCCAGAAAATAGAAGATGGATTACTTCAAAACTCATTGAATGTGGCCAGCAAAACTTGACAAAGACAAGTAAATAAAATTGCCATGCAATATCATATGCAAACAGATAGGCAGAAATTATACGAAGTAAAATTCAGCAATACATAAAAAGGATGACACATACTAAGAAAATCAGGTTCATCTTGGGAAAGCAAGGTTGGTTCCAATTTCAGATCACAATCAGGATAGTTTATTATATCAATGCTGTAAAAAGAAAAACCACATTACCATCTCAATATGCAGAAAAAAAATCACTTGAAAAATTCAGCCTTCTTTTGTGATAAAAACTCTTGGCAAACTAGGAATAGAAGAAAATTTCCCTAACTTGAACTCAATATGAATCATAGACCTAAATGTAAGAGCTAAAACTATAAAACTTTTAAATATTCAGAGGACCATTAAACAGGGAAATGCCAGCAAAGAAGGGCTAGAAGTAAGTTCAATTCTAAGGAGAAAATTCAAGTGTGTGTACTGTGATGCGATGTCTGTCATGAAAGTCAAGAAATATGTTTCATGAAAGAATACATAGTCTATATCAAATGTTGATAAGTGGAATAGTAAGACAAAACCAATTAACTATTGAGTTTGGCAAGAGGTAGGTCATTATTGATAAAAGCCATTTCAGTTAGTAGTAGGGGAAAAGGTTACCTTGGAGAGGGTTGCATTGAAAATGGGAGATGAGGGCCAGCCGAGTGGTGCATTGGTTAAGAGCTGGCTTGGGACGCCAGAGGGCCCCAGTTCAGTAGACTGTCCTCTACAGCTAAGATGCTGAACAACAGCTCAATCTGGAGCTGGGCTGTCCGTGCGTGAGTCGCTGGTGGCGGCGTGGGCTACAGTTCCTGCTGCAGTGGGCTGCCATGGGCTACCGTGTGTAGCCAGCAGCCAGCGT